AGCTAAATTAGTAGAACAAGAGAAAAGAGAAATTCTACTAAGAAACTATCTATAGCTAAAATAACTCAAAATAATTGAATGACTTTTCTTGGCATGATCAGGTGATTGTGGTGTAGTAAATCATGTGTGGCACAGTATGTGGTACAGTAATAATCTGCAAAATAAAAGATAAATATACTATAATTATTAATAACTAATCTAATATTATTATATTAATGTACCTTTTGAAAAGATTAGAATTGATTTGGTAAGATTTCTTTTAGTAACTAGTAATAGAAATCATTATATTATAGTTACTATTGATTATCTGATCAAATAAGTAGAAGTAAGACCAATTACTGATACTTCTGCAAGTATAATCATCCTCTTTTTTTATGAAGATATAGTGATAAAACATGGATTTCCAAAAGAAATACTTAGTGATAGAGGAATTACATTTGTCAATGAAATAATCAAGAAATTATTAGACAAATATCAAATCAAACACAGATTTTCTGCATCTTATCACCCTTAAACTAATGAATTAGTTAAGAAATTAAATTAAACTTTGTGTACTTCATTATCAAAGTATGTCCAACTTTATAAGAAAGATTGAGACTATTATCTACCTTCAGTTCTATTCACCTATAGAACAATAAAACAAAGTATGACTTCATTTAAATCTTTTTAATTAGTATATAATTGACAAGCAATCATACTATTGGATATTAAATTAAAAGATTTTGATAATCTCACTTTTGAAAAAGTTTTTATCAAAAGAACATGTGAATTAATTGATAAACTAGAAATTATATAAGAACTAGCCCTTAGTAATATCTAAGAACAGTTAAAATAAAAAGAATAGTATGATAAGAAATAAAAGATAATAATTTTTCAAATAAGACAGAAAGTATTAATAAGATAAATGGAAGCTTAATATTGGTATCATGATAAGTTTGATGAAAAATGGAAAGAGTCATTTTATATTCATGAAGCATATAATAAAGAAGTATATAAACTGAGAAATAAAGATAGAAAAGTTTTGAAGAATTCATACAATAGTGATCACTTAAAATTATATGTTGAGTTCAATAATCTAAAATTAATAATTATTATCAATAATAACTAAAAGATTTACAGAGTAAATTTCTTAAAGCCAGAGATCCTGTAACTAAAGATACTCTCCAAAACATATTTGGCAAAAACCAAAATCTGAAACTTTTACATATAAATAGTATTTACTATTATCAAAACCTTTTGATATATCGGAAACTCTTTGATATAGCCAAAACTCTTTTGGCATAGCTGAAATCTTTTTGACATAGCCAAAACTCTTTAATATAGCTAAAACTCTTTTGATATAGCTAAAATTCTTGTGACATAGCCAAAATCCTTTTGGTATGCTGAAATCCTTTTGGCATAACAAAAATTCAAGCATTATAAAACTAAAATTTATAATTTATTTACCAAATTCTTCTAACAAATCATCATTACTAAAATTTAAAACTCCTCTTCCTACTATAGTTTTATTATTACTATTATTATTACTATTACTATTACTAGCAACTATAGAAGTTTGATCATCATCTAAAATATCTATATCTTCTTTTGGAATTCTTCCTAAACTATCAATAATAAGATAATTATTAAGATTAATTATTTATTCAATAGTTAAGAATTTGATTACTACTATAGCATTCTTAATAATATCACTACTTAAAGTTCTTGAAAGTTCATCCACATTCTCTTTCTCCTCCTCATATGCTTTGGCTATTACATTCTGTACTATGGTCAAGATTTGATAATCTGATAATTTTTCATTAAGTTTTCCATAAAAAACTAATTTTTTGTGAGTATTAGACCAATAAAAGGATATTAACTTCATTATAGTTTCTAATTTTTCCATACTAAAATAAAGGCGGTATTTACTGGTGAGCTATCCTAAAGTAGAAAACCCTCTTTTACAACTTACCAAATTTGAATAAATAGAAAATAAATATATCGCAAGTTATTAAATATGATTTTCCTCAAGTTCAATATAATTTCACCATTAGAGGAGATCATCATGGGATGAAGTGAATAATAGATCAAAAGAAGATTCATAACTCTTATATTATCGAAGTTGAGAATATAAAATCCTAATAGCTTTGAGGTTCTATCCAAATGAGTATCTAATATCTATGGCCATTTTAATAATTTGATTATATATATCAAATTTAAATGCTTGGCTATAATAAGAAGTTAGATTAGTAAATTTACTAATAAACATTATTGCATAATTAAAATATATATCTTGATATAGTGGATGTAGAAAAAAACTAAGTATATACTTATTATCATTAAATTTGTCAAAACAAGAATTTATTTTTATTACACAATGGTTATAAAAAGGGATATTGACATGATGAGATATTTTTTTTATTGCAGCACTCAGATGAATAAGTCCTAAAAAATAATCAGCCAATGAAGCTGATCAGGCTTTCAAAGCTAATACAGTCTCATGTATAGGATTTAAAACAAATGCTAATATCTCCAGATCAAGAAAAAAGTTTTGGCCTTTAATAATTGATTTTATTCAGTCATTGGTAAGGTAAGAAGAATGGTTAATGATAAGCTAAATAAGGAAAAATAGTTAGTTTAGAACTTGAAAATTATTATATTTATATTACTTATATCTTGAAGGATAGACTTTAGTCTAATTATGGAATTAACACTTTCACTTAATGTTATTCATCTCATTTTATAATATAACTTTAGGTCTTCACTACTAATACCTGAAGCTTCAATTATTTCTTGAATTTTAGAATCTATAATATAAAAAGATAAATTAGTAAGTAATATGAAAAAATTTAAAATGTAAATATTCTTACCTATCTTGCTATTATTATGAAAGAATATTATGAGGATATTTATATGGTAAAGTAATTTGTCAGCAAATTTATGTGCAATGATATCACATACAATAAGATTGATACAGTAGGTAATACATCTTATATTTTAAATATTAAGATACCAGCAATTAATTTCTTCTCAGACTTTTCTCACATTAGACACATTATCACTTACAATAGTGACAAACTTATTGGATCTAATCAAGATAATTATTTTATTTATTTTTTCCATCAGATATTTGGCAGTATGAAATTTACTTGACAAATCAGATAATCAATATAAGTATTCTTTTTTATTCAGCATAAGAAGAATAAAATTTCAAAATAACTGATGAGTTCTGCTAGTCTATTCATCAAAAGTTATAATATAAATAAAAATATATTATTAAACAGATAATAATAATTATAAATATAACTTCTTATCAAGTGTAAGATTTACAGAATTATTTAATTCTTTTTTAACTTTATAATTAATTCTAGAAAATTCTTCTTCAATTAGTCAATTTGATAAAAGATCTCGGGAAAGTGAGTGGTATGCTAAATTTAACTCTTTGAGGAAGTTCACAAAAAATAGATTTTCAATAGCTTGAAATAATAATCTAGCATATATAAAAGCTTTGGTAAGTATATAATTGATTTATGAAATACGCCCTTTTAGAAGTTCTTTAATCAGATCATAAAAGTCTTTAATTAAGTATTGACCGATCATCTTACATTTCTTTTTGGCCATTTCAGAATCTTCATCATCAAGTTTTTAAAGATACTCATAAATAACAAAGGCTGATATCTTGATACAATGATTGGCCAAATGACTTTCTATAAGAACTTGATCACCTTGTATCTATTTTGAATTACATCACTTACAAATAGTCAGAAAATAACCATTTTGTCATTTAGGACTAGCATGAAACTGCTCCCATACTTTATTTCTTGGATGCTCTCCTATATTTTTTGTATTTTCTCTCTCTTCAATGATAGCTACTATTGATTCTATTTTGTTAGGAATAGAATTGTTATCCATGATATATTTTCATAAAACAAAGATAAAAAATTAATAAAGATACAAAATCTAAATATGTAAATATTCATTTAACATTTGATCAGCTTTGCAGATATCCATATACTAATCTTATCCTATTTTCATGACATAAAGGTAAAAAAGTGATGGAGATACAAACTGAAATGGATATGCAGATTTTTATTTAATATTTGATCAGTTTCATATCCTAATCTTATTCTATTTTTATAACTAAAGGTAAAAATTGATAGAGATACAAACCAGATAGGTAAGTAAATTTTTGTTTGATATTTAATTGGTTTCATATACTAATCTTATCTTGTTTCATGACACAAAGGTAAAAATTGATAGAAATACAAACTGAAATGGGTAAGTAAATTTTCATTTAATGTTTGATTAGTTCTATGTACTAATCTTATCTTATTTCAACATAAAGATAAAAATTGATGAAGATATAAATCGGGATGGATCTGTAAATTTTTATTTGATATTTGATTGGTTGTATGTACTAATCTTATCCTATTTTCATAATACAAAGATAAAAAATTGATGGAGATACAAACAGATAGGTAAATTTTCATTTGATATTTAATCTACTTTGCAGATTTATGTGTTAATAATCTTATCCCTGGTATGTAAATATTTGATTGGCTTTACAGACTTATATGTACTAATCCTCTTCACTCCCTTTCTGTCTCAATTTCCAAAAAAAAACAAAAATAAAAAATTAAATAGTGAACTATCTGAAAAGTTTTATGACAAAGCTAATACTAGTCTGAAAATAGACTAATTAAGTAAATAAATGAATGCTTTTAATAAAAATAAATACTATATTATCTTACCCAATAGCTTTTATATCCATTTTCTCACAAAAATTTTTTCTTGCTCTTGCTCAGGGGTAAAAATTATGACAAAAATCTTACCTGAGCAAACAAATAATGATTATATTATATATAAAAGAATA